ACTCATTTATCGAAATATTACCAGTTCTTGTACTGGATATATATTTTTCCACGAGCCTTCCTTAACAGTGGCGAAGCCAGGATTTGGCGAGGGGAGGGGCGAAATGCAAAAGAGTGCAAGGTTCAATCGAAGCGGTTGCTTTTACATTGAAAAGTACAAAGTTTTGAGTCAATATTTATAGCAGAAAACAATCTTTCCACCAAAGCGGTTATATCAAAGCCAATATAAACAACTTAAACTGGTTAGGATTAGATTCGAAAAAATGTTAGGCCCTAGTCAGGCAGCAGAGTGGGGCCAATCAACTACGCTCCTAGGCGAGATTTAGGCAGGAGCCTAGATGAATTTAAATTATTGTAAAATATGCATTAAACAATATTTACATTATTTTTAAAAAAGTAATACAATATTTATAGATAATGTGATAGTTTAAGATAAATATGGTGGGGGTGTTTGAAGAGAAAACAAAAATACATACAAGAATATAAAAAATAAAAAATAAAAAGGAGAGAAATGGGCAAAGTGGGGTTAGAAGAGAAAAAAAGGGGGGTGGGGGGTGGGGGGGGGATGGGAAAACAAACAAGTGGGGCAGAAATGTAAAGACTAGAAGAGAAATGGTGGGTCTGGGTCAGTACAGTGTTGTAAGAGAGAAAAAAAGTAAACAAATGATCAGCATAATGAAATCGATTTTTTTTTTGTTGCCAAATGACACCGTTTTGTACAGGGAATATCAAACTCATAATCCTTCATCTTCTTCCCAAGTTCACCGCTCTACAACCAGTGGCAGATTTAAGATTTTAACATTGGGTGGTCCTAATATAAAGCGCCAGAAAAATTAAACAAAAGCAACATTGAATAATTAAACAATGAATTATAGTTTTTCATTCATAATATTTGTACAAACAACATTAGAAGCTACAAGGACTAAATTTATCCACGACCAGATTATACTTTGAAACGTGTGATGATAATTTCATTGTCAATACAAGAAAATACATATTTCTCAATGTGAACAACAAAATTATCATTTAACCATTGAATCTCCATTTTATTGCAGAATGAACTCTTAATGATATTTATGGCGGGAAATACTTTCCACCCAAACACTTACTTAAATTTTGGAAATGAGGGGATTATTTGGTGTAGAAAAGAAACAAAATTAGAATTTGATAAATTGAATAGTTAATTAGGAAGTGGACTGTATAAAGCACAACACGTGGCTTTTTTGAAATTTTTTAATAACAAATGTTGAGGCTTTCAGCCTCCCACGTAGCTTGGGAGAGTGCTTTCAAACCTATACCAAAAGCACACCGTTTTGGTTAAATGGTTAGTCTTCTTCTTCGTCTTCTTTTTCTCTTTCTGGTTTGCAGATAGCCATAACACAGCAGCCGCCGCTGCTCTTTCCCTCCATCACATACCTAGACTTGGGTGGTCCATGGAGGTCTCACAGCCATTGATCTAAACTTCTGGTTGGTCCTGGGACCACCCAAGTCCCTTAATAGATCCGTCCAACGGAGCGATAATTCTCATTTCCGACAAGAGCGGAGGGGCTGAACCAGCGCTCCTAGGCGTGTTTTTCGGCGAGGGGAGGGGCGGCCGCCACTCTTCGCCCTCACGTAGCTTTGACACTGTTCCTTAACCTATTTGAATCATCTTGGTCGTCATCAGATTCTCCATCAATATATCCATCGCGCTCATCCTCCACAATTATGTTGTGTAATATGATGCACAACATCATGATGGAGTTCAATTTACTCGACTTCACCTTCTTGTCAGTTCTTTGATAATCTTCCACTGTGCTTGTAGAATACCGAAAGCTCTCTCAACATCTTTCCGATATGCCTCTTGGTGTAAAGTAAACCACATTTGGGTGTCATCCATAGGGTTTGGCATTGCTTGGACTAGTGTCGTCCACTTTAAGTAGATGCCATCTGCCAAGTAATACTTTATATTGTACTGACGGTTGTTAATGTAGTAGTTAAGTTGTGGTGATTGACCCTCCATCAAGTTATTGAAGAGGTGAACACCCAAGAACTGTAATGTCATTTTGGGATCCTGGGGCTATAAAGAAAGCATGTCAGATCCATGTGTCAAACGAGGCATCTGCCTTTAACACAATAGTTGGCTTTCTCGGTCTTCCGCTAAAGCCTTATTGTCATCCGGTGGGACAGTTCTTCCACTGCCAATGCATGCAATCTAATGACCCTATCATGCCCGGAAAGCCACAGTATTCAGCTTTGCGAATGAGCCAATCCAGATCTGTTGATTTGGTTCACGGAGGTACTCTTCTTTGTAAAGCTGAACAATTGTGTGACAGAATTCAGCAAGATTATGAAGGCATGTAGAGTCAGACATACCATATGTATCATCCATTGCATCAGCTGGGAGGTATATGCCAACATTCGAAGTGCAATAGTAACATTTTAATGAGGTGAGAAACCAGGACACCAGGACAACCTGCTCTGTCTAGCTTCTGTCGAAAGTATGGATTGACATGTTGGAAATCATGAAGTAAACGCTCAAAGACATGACACCTTATTCGGAAGCGACGTCTGAAATCCTCTTCTATGTACACCGAGTTAGGGTTGAAGTAGTTGTTCATCAGATTCTCATGCGCCATCTCTCTATTTTGTGGTTTGTAAGAGTGACCAGCAACATAGTCACCCCATTGAGGTTGTTCTTTAGTTAGCTCACACGTCATGACCCCAGCCATGGTTGCCATATATGATATGTTACGCCATGCTTCATCTTCTTCATCGGGCTCCTCACCTTCTCGTCTCATCTGCACCCATTTTTCTTCCAATTTGGAATTGAACGAAGACCTCCAGTTGGAGTCCGAAGAGGATCCAAAGTTGGAATTCATTGCAAACATGAATTGAAAGAGATATTGGAGAGGGCAAAGTTGAATGTGTGTGAATTATGGCCTAATATCCACTCTATTTATGGACATTGGAAGCTGAACATAAGAAGTGTCACGTAGATAAAAATCCTATCTAAAATTCCCACAACCAATTACATTTCGACACATGGCACTCGAAATTCTATCCAAAAAATTATTGAGATTACACATCGACAAGAAATTTGGAGAGTTACTCACATATTGACACGTGACACTCGGAATCTGAAACAAAATTATTGAGATTCCATATCAACAAGAAATCTGCAAAGTTGGACACATATCGGCATGTGGCACTTGAAATCCGAGACGTAATATTATTGAGATTCCATATCAACAAGAAATCTGCAAGGTTACTCACATATTGACACATGTCATTCGAAATCCTATGCGAAAAATTATGGAGATTACATATCGAAAAATTATAGAGGTAGTTTAATTGAAGTAACCATATTAATTGAATTAAAATAATAAATTATGTTTGGCTTATGGCCCTTTGGCACCCTCAATTGGAGATGATTTTTTGTCAAAAGACTATGTTTGACCTATGACCATTTGGCCTCTTGGTTAGAGATAATAAGACATATGGTCTAATACTGTTAATTGAAGTATTAATTTCTTGGAGGGTTATAAAGCTAAAAGGAGCTCTCTAACCCTCATTTGATTAGAGATGGCCTTAGACAATCAATGTTATCCATTATAAAATAGTAGGACTTTTGTGTTGACCTTTCGGCCGTTAATTGAAACTTAAACTTTCTGCCCAATTAAAATTAAGAAAAAAAAAACCTCCTTTAATAGAAAGCCTCGCATAGGACTTTTTCAGCTTTCAGACGGCATCAGCCATTGGTACCAAATCTCTTCATCAACAGCCGTTCGATTCCCCAAACCTCAGTTCAAACCAATCTCAACCTTCAATTTCTCATATTCTCATCAGAACCTACCTACACCGTCAGATCTTAGTTCCTATCAATCTCTTTCAAATCCATGCCAAAAGTTGGCCCGGTTATAATTTTGTGAGAGTGTATAAGACGTATAAAGGTTCAACAAGACGTTAAGTGCTAATCCTGCGGTGAGCTACGGACTAGCATTTAGGTGGGGACCTATGCGTATTTAAGTAAATTTATCATATATTGTAAAAATAAGTGTATATTTATACTTTAAAAAAAAACCCACATAATTATATTGGGATGCATAAATTGCAAAATAAAATGATGTATAAATTATAAATTTTAGGACATATTGAAAATATGGGGAACAAGCATATAACGAGTGTTCATCCAAGTATTAATAAGTTTCTTACATTTTATTGAAAAATTAAAACGCAAAAATGAAAGTTATTGATGTTTTGTCTAAGTGAGAGTCACAGCCTAGGCGGTCTAGATGGTTTTAGAAGGGCTACACAAATGCTTAAGCAGGTCTAGGTGCATTTTTTTACTTTTCAAACGCGTCGAAACTAATCGGAGCGTAAACGACGCTAGATAGAAATTTTTTAAATAGTGACACATATTTTTTTATTAGGTTAACTTTTTTAATGATTTTTAATTCTGGTGTATACTATGCTTCGAATATATTAAAAAATCGATAAATTTAAGAGTTGATATATAATCAACCTTTATAGTTTACCAATTGTTACAATTTCAATACCTTCGCCTAACGTTACCAAAATTCATTTACACATCTAAAACTCAATGTACACAAACATACCTCTCATTTGCTTATTAGGTTAATAAAATTTAATGAAATTATACTATTTGGAAAAATTGTTAAGCTACAAATATAAATTATGAAAAAGATTGCAATGGTGGATTGCCTTGATAATTATGATTTCTTCTTCAATTGTTTATATTCAATCCTTTCTATAATGAAGCTTAAAATAATAATAATTTTTTTTTTTAGAAAATTAAAAAATAAAACTACTAGAAGGAATAAAAATATAAAATCATAAACTAGTCAATTAATTAATTAATTGAAATATTGAATAAGAAGCCGTTCATGGAATGACAAATAAATCTCAACCGTCCATTGGGTCCGTACGATGTATAACTTGCTCGACCTTTAACGTCCCAGGCAAACCGTATATAATGGGGGTGAAAGTGCACCCCAATTTGTTGCATTTTCTGGGCGATTTTTTCAGTGCTTCGATCGTCATCCAATGCAATTCGTATGGTCGTATTACAACACAGAGAGTGTTTTGCTCCCAACTCTCTCTCTCTCTCTCTAACTTTCACCCTAAGTTTTCCTCTTGCGAAAACGATAGCTTTCAAAGCTTTTGTTTTTCTATTGGCTCTGAGGAGAAGCTGATTGGGTGAGTTCTTAATCTCTTGGTTTCTACGGTTTTACATCTGTTTACTTTGTTGGTTTGTTCTATTGATTGCTGAAGAAATTTGGGTTTGTTTTTTGTTCGTATTATTGATGAGATTTTACTGCTGATTGAGATGTATTGCAAAATCTTAAGCTTTTCTGGGTTCTGTTTGATTGTTGGTAGTTTATGGGTTTGATCATGGATATGCATGTAGCAGTTGTGTTGTTTTTCTTTTGACAAGACGATATTCTAAACTACTTTAATCTAATCTAAGGGGATGTGAGTTCGAAATGATTCATTATCTTTGGTATATATAGTAAAGGTCATATGAAATTTTGATTTGTTACAGGGAAGATTAACTTTTTTGGGTTAAGTTTATTTAGAGCCTGTTTGGTATCCTATTTGAAATTTTTTATCATTTCTCAAAATATTTCTTGAAAACAATTTTCTTTAAGACTCAAAAACATGATTGGTTTGTGATTTAAAATTTTTAAATCTTATGACTTAAACTAGACAAAGAAATCTAAAAAGAGGGGGTCACAGGAGAGGGAGAAAGAGGAGAGAGGAGGAAAGAAAGCAAGAGATGATTGAAGGAAAGAGAAAGAAGAGAGAGGATTGAACGAGATAGAGAGGAAGAGGAGTGAAAGAAAGAACCGAGAAAATGAAGAAAGCGGATTAGAGGAGAGACGAAAAAGGTAAAAAAAAAAGGAGAGAGAAAGCGAATTTGAGTTTAAAAAGTTAGATTCAAGTCGAGTACCAAACAGACCCTTAACCCTTAATTTCTTGGATTTTTTCCCTAGGCATGTGAGGTAAAAGGTTTAACTGTTAAGAATATTTAGCTCTCCACGTTATTGTTGATCCTTCATTTTCCTTATAGGAGTTACTTGTTTATTAGCAATGATCTAGTTTAAAATTGCAAAAGCAGGCGGGCTGGTTTAAGGTCGTTATCGTCTTCGTGATATTTTATTTAGACATACTGGGAATGCGTAAGCACACGTTGTTTGGTTAACAGGTTTGTCACTTCATAATGTTATTAGGATAATTAAAGTCTGCAGGCGGTCATTCTAGACTTGCAATTATCTGTTTTTTCCATATTTTTTGACGCGCGCGGGGGAGGGATTTTGGGGTTTGAACCCTTGCTGATATCACCACAATTTTAATTTTAACATAGTTAACAATAAACATACTTGAGCTTAGCAAAGTCTTAAATTATGATTACTTGGGGTATGCATCATTTTCACAAGTTTTCTTATTCTAATTTATTATATGCTTAGATGTCTAATCAATTGTGAATACCCTCTACTATATATTGTCCAGTTCTGTAAAAAAGTCAACTGCTTTATTATATTAAGGATTTACGTTAAAAATCCTTAGCTTTGCCTTGCAATCGGGAGCGCTATACTTAATTTAGGGAAACTATTTCCTGCTGCTATTCAGTTTAGATTTGGCAGCTGAACATTCTTGTGCAAATTATAGTCGGGGTTAATGCATGTAAAAGCTTTGAAGGTTTTTTTTTTAACTTTATTGGTCGCTTTTTCGCAGGTATTACTATTCCTTGAACTTCTGAGGGATTCCATCATTGCTCTTGGAAGCATCTTGAGCATTCTAATTCCACATATGCATTTTTAAGGAGATGGCTTCCAGTGAGTATGATTCAGATATTGTTCAGTGGGGTCTTCGTCTTCTTGATGGGGATCCAGTTTATAATTCTTCATACTACTACGGCAGTGACATGATACAACAAGATGCTAATGATATCTACCATTATGAGCATATCAGGAGTCATTATGATACAGAATCAAACAATGTAGAAAATGATGAAATCATTGCACATACTCTTCAAGAGGAATATTCGCGACTATCTGTAACAGAAGCCTATGAATACTCGCATGCAGGTGAAGCACAGCCACAAGCTTCGTTTCATGCAGATGTGTGGCATGGTCAATCTACAAGAGATTTTTGTTCAGGCATCTGAAAAATTGCTGTTTGCACCTTCTTTTTATAGAAGTTAAATTAACCTATATCATTTAATTATCTTGATGGGCATTTTTTGTGCACCATGCAGACCATGATTACAGCCAGGAAGAAGCTGCTATTGTGGTGCCTTCTAGCTTATGTTCTAGCCCGGATGATCAATTGGAGCTAACTGATGAATGTTCTCTTCATGGGGAAGTAGGCTGGGGCTGGAATCCTGTTCCCGTAAGTTTATGTTGTTCAAAGTTCGTTTTTCACATTGTTTAGCGTTTTCACCATGTTGCAACCTCAAATGTTTTGTCATGTTTTTGTTATTAAACAGTTTGAAGGAGTTGTCATAATGGACTTTTGAAAATTTATTAGCACATTGTATAATACACATTAGGTAATAATCTGATGTTGAGACTTGGGAATGTAGATTGGAAACTCAAAAAGACATGTCAACAGGATTTTGATTATTCATGTGAATTCCCGCCCTCCCCCCTCTTAAAATAATTTAAAATCCACAGTTTACAAATTCGTGACTAGTGTATTTGTATTTGGATTGCTACACATGACATGATTTGCATTGTCAGGTATTAACTTTGTTCCCTTTATATGGTCTAGCACATTCCTAGAATCAATGGAGAAATTCCTTCAATTGATGAAGCGACTTCAGACCATCAAAGGCTAGTTGACAGGTACGACCTGCCCATTTCCTTTCTAGGAGTGAAGTAACATCAGTCTGTAATTCAATAATTTGCCTAGCTAGCAGAATCCATCTTTACGTGTTTTTTGACTTGGGTTCTGATATTGGATTTGGGTTTGTAAAAGTATTTATTGCCTTTTTCATTTAGGCTTCAATTATATGGCTTTGTTGAACATAAGGTAGCAGGAGATGGCAACTGCCAGGTTAGTCCTTTTGTAGCTGTGTCTTGTTTCTGTTGTTGATGACTGGATATTGATGTATTAGTTTTCTATTTATGACTGACTGGATATTGATGTTAGAATTTTTCAAATTAGACATGTTAATCTCACGCTTTGCTTTATTTTTCCAGTTCCATGCTTTATCAGACCAATTGTATCAATCACCTGACAACCACGAGTATGTGAGAAAGCAAGTCGTAAATCAGGTTTGCAATACCTATTTGTTATACTGAACTTTATCACCATGAAGTTTTGTGTATTATCAACTATCTTCCATGGATTCTGGTTTATCCTTCTGATGGTTTACTGCTATCAGCTTAAGTCTCATCCAGAGATTTACGAGGGATATGTTCCTATGGCATATGATGATTATTTGGAGAAGATGTCCAAGTATGACTTGAACTCATAGTTTTTCTTGTTTTCCTGTCAATTAATGTTGGCCTTAATTAATACTTATCAATCTGAATGAAACCAGGGATGGTGAGTGGGGTGACCATGTCTCATTACAGGCAGCTGCTGATTCGGTATGAAAGATCTTTTACATTGAAGCGTGCACATCTGGATTTTTCCAACATTTGGACAGTAATTTATATAGAAACTGATACTTGTGTGAATAATTTGTTGCAGTACGGAGTGAAAATTTTTGTCCTGACTTCTTTTAAGGATAACTGTTGCATAGAGATTCTTCCTAATATTCAATCTTCAAAACAAGGTAGCTTGTTAAGCTCTTGGTTTTTGTTGTGGACAGAGATAATCGATTTTTTTAAGTATTTAATTATCTGTATGCTGAAATTTGATTACAGTTTCCATATTCTACGTGTTGCTGTCCTCTTTTTTCATTTCACTTCTCTTATGATGAACAAATTTATCACCTAATTATGATTTTTTTATTACAATCTCCCGGTTCAATGTTAGTCTCATCATTGTACTAATTAAAAATAGATTTCGTCAAACTTTGCTTAATGGTTAAGCTATTAGTTGTGATATCCTAAATATTAGTTTTTCGTTCTCCATTAAGATTTACAGATGCTATTATGTCTTGTGCAGTTATTTATTTGAGTTTCTGGGCAGAGGTGCATTACAACTCAATTTATCCTCAAGGAGGTAACTTTTTTTCTCTCTATGCTCATTATGTAGAGTACAAAGTGGTTTGGAGTAAAACAAAACCTGGCTTTGGGATGACTCGTTCAGCTGAATGCAACCAGTTCGAGCAATAATGTTGCATCATTACCCAACAGTTTTTGAATGATAATACTTACAGTCTCTTTTTCTTTTGGGATCTGTGTGTGTAATACTAACTGTGCGATGGGGAGTGAGAAATTAAAACAGAATGCCGGAATAGCTCTTTATCTGATTTTCCAAAAGGGCTCTTTGGTTGTCTGACAGTAGTGCCTGCATGCATGCCTTGGGTTTTACATATCTCTGTAAAAGTAATGCATGACTTATGGTTTTGGTTTTATTTCAGGCACAACCTCATATGAGAACAGAAAAAAGAAAAAATGGCGGATATTTGGGAATAAACATTAGGAATGTTTGGATGGCCTTTATGGCATTCAACACATGTCTCCCTCATATTGTTGATGCTGCTGCTGTTTAAATCCTGTAGTCCTTGGTTCAGGACCTCACATACTCTTATTTTTGCTCTTCTAATGTCCATCCAGGCTGGATTATCTCATCGTAAGAGCAAGTTAGTTTCTTTGTCCATTTTTTTTCCTTTTCTAAATTTACTATAATTATGGTTGCTTGCATGTGTGATTTTTGTTGTTGCATGCTAGTACCGTACAATATTTTTGGAGCAAACCAGTTACAATACAATAATGAATTTATACATTTCGGAAAATAAATTTAAAATGGTTTTGTTGAATCTTTGTGAGCTTTTTGCTTATTGTTTTCTTCACTAGCAACTTGGTTGGTCCTTTAGATTTGGAATGTACAATGATATGTTAAATACCTGAAATAAATTATATCTGGAAAAAGAAAAGAATAAAAAATACTCGAAATGAATGTCGGTGTTGAGGAAAATATTCTATGCTTTAAATGAACACAAGTAAAATGTACGCTTCACGGCATATGCAATAATTGTGCATAATTGGCAGGTATCGTGAAATGGAAAGCAAGATTATATTGCGGAAAAATGCGATGCTGTCTATAGACATATAGAGAGATGGAGAGGAGTTACTTGAGTATCTAGAAGATGGTTAAGTTCAGGATTTTTGTTGGACATAGTGGCGGGAACTAAGGTTTTGATAAGCTTCAGTCATTTATCTTGTACCGTTGATCTGTTTTATGTTATACCCATGAAACTGGTTGATGAATAACTTTTCTTTGTATGGATTATTTTCTGAATGTTTTTCTTACCATAGCAGAAGTGGGATTTATTGGAATTCAGTCTATTGCCAATGTCAGGTTTACGATATTTTGTATACTGAGACTGCTTATTCATAATCATACCGTTTTTATACTGTTTCACCACTTAGTTTCCCTGTTTTGAACGTAAGATTAATGCGACAATCTTTCATGAATGTATGTGTTTAGTTCTTACCATCACGGTTTGCCGTTTCATGCAAGGTGTTGTATAAGCGCGTGTATTTGAGCGAATATGACAAGTTTGCAGCCGGTGGGTTCCAAGTTCCAACTGAATTGGAAAAAGTTCTGGCCAGTATCTGCGTCGATATGACAAAATATGCAGCCGGTGAGTTTTTCAACTAAAATGGACAGCTCCGCCATTGTTTAGGTCATTTCTTTGTGGGTACTCAATTTACGTGCTTCTTTGCCATTGGCGAAATATAAGATTGAATGCAGAGTTTGCTTCTGGTACAGATTAGTAGTTAGAAACACGCTTAGAAGATATATCGACTCTTTGCTTCTTGTTCTTTGGCAGACGGCGACACTTAATCATGGGTATCATTGTTTTTTTGTCATAGTCAAGTATTTATACATTTCCGTGAGTAATGATGCAGTAGTATTTGCAACATCAGAAGATTATGAACTTTTGTTTTTCTGCTTTTCGTTTCAATATGTTTCGTTTCGTCATTGAAATGATTTGATCGAACACAACGGTAGGTGAACACAATTTTCTTGAGATTGAAGATGGCAAAAGGATCGGAGGATCCAACTCCGACCATGGACCCTCCTCCTTAAGTAGTCGAGTGTCCAGATTACCTCTGCCCGGCCTGTGAGTTCCTTCTCGTTTAATAACTAACATAACGCCGTTAATTTCATAGAAGTTGAAAAATAAAATACGTGCTAATAAGTACTAAAAAAGCAAAAAACGCAACAGCTTTCAACCAACCCATTATCATATTAATAAACTTAAATTTTCTTAATTTATTATCAGAAACTTGTAAGACTCAACCCAAATCATGTTAGCATGCTATCTAGATCACTATCAATACAGAAGTCTTCTACTCACTCAAGACTTAATGTTCTGATGGTGATAGAACCCTTAACTTAGAATCTTTTCTTTGTGAGCTGGGAGTCTTTTTATAAGTATAACCTTTGCCAACTTCCATCTGTCGTGGAGTGTTGGTTCATTACAGTTATTTGCAGTTTCAAATTGCAAGTTGTTCCTGATCACAATCACCACATATTCCTTGATTACAGGAAGCAGTTTTACACGTTTACAAACTCCCACCAGCAACTGCATTTCTTCCTTGTACTATTTAGTTTAGTCCAATTCGGTTTCTTACAAAACTTAATGTGTCGGTTTATAATTACGGTTACAGAAAAGCCATTCTCATTTTGGATGCAGACATTTGATCAGGTTATCATATGCGATGCGATTGCGTGATTCTTGTGGATTTTTGTGTTGGATTTTGGAATTATTTTGGAAATTGAAATTTGAGATTCAAAGGTATTCTGTGTTTAAGACGGTCGATGAGAAATTGGAGAGAGAGAGAGAGAGAGAAGTGAGCTTTGCCTATGCAGGGAAGATGGTCCCTGGTGACAGTGTGGCTGTATTTTACGTGTTAAGCTTATGGACATGTGTCAAAAGGAGAAGGATGTCATAGGCTGGGCAGAGGTAATCTAGGCACAGCAGATCCGAACTCGAAGTAGTCAAAGTACATCATACTCAATCCAATTGAATATTTACCCAATATTTAATCCAAAAGACATCCTCATTCACGGAAAGAGATCATCTCCGGATCCATTCCACCTAATCTTCCTCATCAAACAATCAAGACTCTTGAAATTTGATCTAACGGCTAAAGTTATTATAACTTTTAAAGTGGGCCTGTGTTTGTAGCCGTTGGATCAAATTTCAAGGGTCCGGATTGTTTGATGAGGAGGATTAGGTGGAAGGGGTCCGGAAAGGATCCCTTTCCTTCATTCACTATGAGGATCCTCTTTGTGAGGATCCTGGGTATCCTCACATTATGTCCGTTCATCGTACATCGTGCGGCCATAAATCATTTTAAATACTTTTATTTTAAATTAAATATGAACAGTACTTGATGAAAACTGGTCACACGATATACGATGAACATATACGATTTGAGGATCTTCAGGATCCTCATAAAGAGGATCCTATTATTCCTTTTTAGTTGAACATGTACAGCTTAATATGTAGATTGCCACTAAATTTCTAATTAAGTGCACAACCATTCATGAACAACAATATATATTAAATACCAAAAACAAAGAGAGACTTATCTAAACCCCAAAAAACACTAACACAACCCCCCTCCACACCTAAACACACACCTATAGGGGCTAAATTGTCTCTCCCCACCACCTCCATTATACATAGGGATGGGCAATGGTTATGCCAAACGGGTAACTGCGGTTATTTACTTATAACCGTTTAAGTTCTTACCTGCATAACGGTTTACCCGTTGAGTATTTCCATAAACGTACACTCATACCCACAATCATTTATAAACGGTTAATCATACTCACAATCGCATACTCATTTAACCATAACCGCATACCCATTTAACCATAACCGTGTACTCGTTTATCCGTTTTTAACCCATTTACTCTCTTTTTTACCCGTATACCTATTTTTTTTTACAACTTGAAAATTAGAAAAGAAATTTGTCATAATTTCTTTTTCTAACAATTAAACACCATTATAAGTGCATTTAACATGCATTTTCGTATTAACCATATTATTTATGAATATATGTGATGTCTCCCAATTATTTGATGGTCAATCTATTGCAAGAATCATGCATGGTTGTAGGTTAATTAATATTCTTCTATATGTAACTACGCATCAGTATGCTAATAAGCTAACTTGATAAATATTTGGATTTTTATTTAGAAAAATATGTTCATCGATCTAGGCCGTTTAATCGGTTTCTAATTTTTGGGTCAAATATTTATTGAAAACTCAAGGCCAATTAAATTAATATATATATATATATATATATATATATATAAGTACGCATCAGCCGACAATAACATGCTTCTAAAGGCTCAAGGTAATCATTATCTTGAATACTAGATGATTCAAAGCTCCAAAATACTCCAAAACAAAACTTTCGAACACTCTAATGCTTTAGCACATTCAATCACATATATTAAACATATGGCCGTTTATATTAACTACACACACACACACACACACATATATATATGACCCGTTTATAACCAATTATGTCTTAAGATACTAAACTTAGCTAGAAATTAATGTTTTTTTAATCTTATATTTATTAAAATAAATGGTGAAATGAATACCCATTTATAACTGCGGATAATACCTATAACCGTCCATTTAAATTTCACAGATAAACGATTATACCCATAACCGTTTATTTATGTATATGATTACCCATAACCATAACCGTGAGTTTTAAATTGTTGTTATCTACCGATCATTCCCAATTCCAAATCCCAGAACCTCTTCCTTCGGCTGCCCCTCCTCCACCTCACTCGCCCTCGTTTACAGTAGCAACTGCGACGGGAACGGCAAGTACCCGGCACTATATGTTGAGAATTAAGCTGCATACTAGCTTAAATCCAATATGCAGATGACAATCTTGTAGCTAGAATTGAAGAGAATGAAGAAATTGAAGGAATGAAGAGCTTGCTATTTTTAGAAATAACCGTTAGACTCAAATTTGTAACGACTAGTTTTAGTTTCTTTTTTTAGTAAGTAGCACAACTGTTATTCTTATCCTTTCAGATTGTACTGTGCCATTCGATCCTTTCCCAAGTGGAAGGATCGTAGCCTCCGATGGTCTGAATGGTTGGAGACGTGTCATTGCTCCCTAAAATGTAGGATCTGAGCATTTAACTGTTTTCTGGGGTTATAACCTTATATTCTTCTTCTTCGATTTCATATATAGCATATACTTAGATTTTTCTACTCTCTGTGATCATCCTTCATTACCATTTTTTCTGTAATAAAGCCTTGATCTTTATTTGTTAATCAACCTAAAAACCTATATGGATGATACCATTTAACATGGTATCAGAGTCTTAGGTCTGATTCAAAGAAGAAGGGGCGTAAACTGCGAGTGAGGTTCTTCCTGAAATTCCCAGAAGAGATAAAAGTGGTTCTTTTTGTGGTTGGTTCGCTGATAATCACTTAAAGATGGTGGGATCGAGTTCTTCTTGTGGAGATTTACAAACTCCACAGTTCAATGGCACAAACTACGATTTTTGGACCGTCAAGATGGAGACCATCTTTATAGCACATAATCTATGGGATGTGGTAGAACTTGGAATACAACCGCAACAGATTCTCAAAGAAGAAGAAAACACTGAGTGTGAAGAAAGTGAGACATAACAAGTCCAGTTGAAGCACCCACAATTTAAAAAAAAAAAGACAGAATAAAAAATGCCAAGGCATTAAGTCTCATTCAAAGAGCAATAACAGATGAGTTATTTCCTCGCATCAGAAATGAGAAGACTGCAAAGGGGGCCTGGGACATTCTGAGAAGAGAGTATAGAGTTGACAAAAAGATAAGAGTTGTAAAACTTCAAGCCGTTAGGGCTGGATTTAAGTATTTGAGAATGACAGAAGGTGAAACACTAGATGATTACATGGCTAGGTTTTTTGAAAGTGTGAATAACCTGAAGTCACTTGATGAAGATGTACCTGAAAAAAAGAATTGTACAAAAAATGTTGATGAATTTAAGTAGAACATAGAAGTCTATTGTGTATATCATATAGGAAACTAAATACCTTAACACTATTAGAATTGAAGAGGTTATGGCATCTGTTAAAGTTTATGATAAGAGAGAAGATTTGCATGATGAGAGGGACAAGATGACAAGAACTAAGAGAGGATTTAGTAGTTTCAAAGCTGGCAGCAACAGTGTCGCTGGAGCTTACAAAGGAGCACAAAATAAGCAAAACCAGAATTGGCAAGGCAATACAAGAAAGGAAAAAATTGGTCTCAAGGTGGAAATTGGAACAATAACAATGGTACAAACTAGAACAACAACTATGGAGGAAGTTGGAACAATAGGGTCAACTCTCAAAACAAGCAAGGGAGTAGTAGCCAAAGTGGTGTAAAACCACAATGTTAAGTATGTGAGAAGTATCATTTTGGTGTGTGCAGGTACAAAGGAAAAGCCAAGTGTGGAAAGTGTAATCGTTTTGGTTATGTTGCGAAGGACTATGATAACCACAAAAAAAGTGGCAAACTATGCAAAAGAAGAAGTGACCACAAGAACCATGTTCTATGCTTGTCACTCAGCTTCAATTGCACAAGATAGATCTGTGTGGTTTGTGGACATTGCATGTAGCAACCATATGACTTCTCAGGAGTCTATTCTGATAAATCTTGACAAAACAGTGACATGTAAGGTAAAAATGAGCACTAGAGATCTTGTACAAGCTATTGGGAAAGGCACTCTAGTGGTTGAAATTGAACATGAGAAAAGGTATATAAATGAAGTATTGCTGGTTCCAGGTTTAGATGAAAATCTATTGAGTGTAGGTCAAATGATGGAATATGGATACTATGTGCTATTTGGAGGTAATATGGTAGTAATCTTTGATGATAACAACCTTGACAATGTTATAGCAAGAGTGAAAATGGTAGGAAACATA